AAAAGCCTCAAAACACTCAGTTTTTTACACTTTTGACTTCGAAATGTGCTTCGCGCCACAGCGGCGTGCACTTTTTCGACACTTTTTCGACATCTGAACCTCCAAAAGTGGTCCGAGGCCGTCAGTTTTTAACACTTTTGACTTGGAAATGTGCTTCGCGCCACAACGGCGTGCACTTTTTCGACATCGCAACTTCCAAAAGTGGTCCGAGAATGGTGTGTTTTGTACATTTTGACTTGGAAATGTGCTTCGCGCCACAACGGCGTGCACTTTTTCGACATCTCAACTTCCAAAAGTGGTCCGACGCTGAGGTTTTTTGTACATTTTGACTTGGAAATGTGCTTCGTGCCACAACGGCGTGCACTTTTTCGACATCTCAACTTCCAAAAGTGGTCCGAACCCCTGGTGTTTTGTACATTTTGACTTGGAAATGTGCTTCGCGCCACAACGGCGTGCAATTTTTCATCGCTCCTGTGGCCAGCTGGCTCCGCATCCGCCGCTTTAGCGAGCCTACTTTTCGACCCTCCTGAGCCACAAATCATTGGAAAAACACAGTGTTTCGCGACTTTCCTACCTTTTCGCGCATCTGTATCTTCTGTCCTCTTACTCTTTCTCTTCTTATCTTCTCTCTTCTAATCTTCCTCTTCTCTGTGCCTCTGCCCTGCTCTGCTTTTCATCTCTCCATATTGTCGGAAGTTTGACTTCTAAACTTCCTTCGATGATATTCAACAGATTATACATGTGATTGGTATATGTTTATTGTCAATCATATATATATATACATTCTGATAGTCCATCAACACCCATGTGGACCACCTTGAGAATACGAACACGCAGCGACCTTTATGCGCTGTATCACAACTGCAGGCATTGCAGCTGTTTCGCGACATGGAGCTGCAGAGGATCAAGGCCAATGATAAGACCTATGGAGCATTGGCAAAGGCATTTGAACGAGGCCCGTGGGGATGGTACACAAATATACACAACGATTACGGGGAAGTCATTAGAAGATCATCCACAAGCAATATTCAAATGAGTTCAATGATCTTCAAAGAAGATCAATGAGTTTGAGTTCAATGAGTTCAATGAGTTCAATGAGTTCAATGAGTTCAATGAGTTCAATGAGTTCAATGCCTTTCTCTTCGATTTGAAGTTTTATACCTCTCCATAGAACGAGAATGAAACAGGATGGCAATGCTAAATCCTCGACTTACATATTTTGTTCGAAACATTTTTATGTTGAAGAATTGTTTTTTTGATTGCAGGGTGCAGAAACAATGCCAACACATATTAAATCATATTAATATTATATACTATTTTACTAATATCATCACTATAAATTGCATCCAAATCAGCATCAGTGACCAGAGGGGATTGCTATCCCAGGCCGCCAATGGCAGCGTGCCCTTGATCTCTCGTCCCTGGGCGACGGCGTCCCAGCGGGCGCGGCCGTGTCGGCCCTGTCGGAGTCGGCGCCCATGGCGCCGTTGCTGGCGAATTTGGAGGACCGGACCAGGACCAGTCCGGCCTTATTGGGGCATGCGGGGTCGGAAAAAGCTCCCGCGAATTTATGGATTTTTGAGGATTTTTTGGGCAATTGCTGGAGGATGGGGTCTTGGAGGAGGGATTGGAAGCTGGATGTTGTGCCCCACTGACTGCTGTGCATGTTCAGGATTTTGAATCATTGGATAGTGCCCAACATGACGCACAGGGCCTTGAATCATTGGATACACCAGTATTTGACAGGTGGATGGTTTCAACTTGTTTATTTTCCATCCTTGGATGACGATCCCAATCACCACTTGTTTAGCAGTCTTAAAAGAGGTTGAAGTCCCCAACCAGTTGCCAGCCAGACTTCCCAAGCATTCACTTGTGGATATATGCATGGAATATAACCACTGAAATTTCACGACCAGCCGGGTAGGATCCCCTGTTGACTAGCAGATTCAAACGAGATCAAATGGGTTTGAAATAGTTTGAACAAGTGTATCAATGATGTTCAGTCCTGAGCCCTGCCATATGGGTTCACACCTAATTTGACTCAGTTGTAATCTACTGATTGCACATGGCCTTGAGGTGAACGTGCTTGTTCAGCATGGAGCAGATGTCAACTGGCGACCGCACAAGAAAAAGGAGCCGTTGCTTCACAGCAGGGGAACTCAGAAGTGCTGGATTTTGTTGACGGCTGGGTTGATCAATGGTTGGTAAATTGGCTCCAGAGGGCCTTCAGGCTGCAACCTGCAATAACAATATAGACTAATATAGTGTATCAACATATCTCAAAAGTATCTATGCAAAAGCTAATTCAATGTTTTAATGTACTGTCAAACTTCAGCAAAGTTTGATATATACAATATCTATCAATATCTATAATATTCTTTAATATATACTATATCATACATTATCATACTATATTACTATATCTCTATGTAATATTTACTAACATATACAACTATTTTACAATTATATATTACAGATAATGCAATATAACAATATATAACAATAGATTTTGAGCATGGACCAACCATACAACACCAAGCCTGAACCAAGCCAACAGCGCAGAGGTGCGGCACGCTTTGGCCATGTACCGGTGATCAAAGCATTGCTGGACAGCAAGGCTCAGCTCCATCGACGTCTCAAAGGTGCAGGCGGGGGTAGCAACGGATCTCCAATCATCGAGTCAGCCATCGTTTCTTATATGGATTATATGGATTCATGTAACAGATGAGTGTTTGAGGGACGTTGATCATACTATGATCATTATATGAAAGTTAGCATATCAACTGAATATAATTGAATCAGATTCTCCGATCTGTTGCTCATCAAATCATTTCAAATCGCCCAGGACACCGTTGAAAAATGGTCCAATCGCCATGACTCGCCGGTAATTTTTGATGAAACACAACCCATTTATGCATTAAAATTGTGTTTTTTCCTATCCATGTTAGTTTACCAGAGGATATAACATGATATAATTTTTTCAACTTGTCAACTGAGATTCATCACCATGTTCCAACCTCCGCAACCAGTGACAAGTGAGGCGAAGCCATCCACGACGCGGCGCATTTCGGACACCTTGGCGCCCTGGCGGAGCTGGTGGAGCAGAGGGCCCAGCCGCAGCTTGGTCCAAGGAGGTTTCCCCATGGTTTTTGTCTGGCAAAATGTGGGATTTCAATGGATTTAACCACCAAAATGATGCCTTAACCAACATCATCCCGGATCCGTACTTAATTGGATTTTACCACCAAAAATTGGGATTAGTTGGAATAGATTGGAATTTAACCACCAAGAAATGGCAAAACCTTCAGCAGTCCGCCTTAAGATTCTGGTGCAGTCCATGTTCTTATTGGTAAGTAGATGTAAACATGTAAACAGAAAACTCATATTTTTGTGTGAAATCCCCATTTTGGTTGGCTTCGGATAATCATGAATGATTACACATCGGTGCTAGGTGGTGGTCCATTTGAACTTGGGCTGCAGGTTTTCCAAAACCTCCAGGGGCAGTACGACACCATTGGACCTGGCCATGGAAGCGGGGCACCAACCTGTGGTTGGATATCTGCAGGAGAGGTGGTTGAGAATGGGAGTTCATATACCCTTTGGTAAACTAACATAGCTATGGAAAATCACCATTTTTAATGGGAAAATCCACTATTAATGGCCATTTTCAATAGCTACGTTAAATTACCAGAGGGTATTCATGGATTGTGATAATCCAAAAATATCCAAAATATATTGGTTGTTGATGGTTAGTATAACCCCATAAAATTTTGAACAGTGCTCCTACACGATTTCAATCCATTGTTCGATGATCACCAGCACCTTTGAGGCATCTAAGGCTCAGGTTTGATGTGGTGATGGATCAAGGCAAGGCCCATAGGACCATTGTTTTGGGGGAGATGAACAGCCGCCAGCCATTTTGGTGTTCACCAGGGATGGTTTTCATCCATCCCCAATCAGCTCCACAGCAGCAACACTGGTGATGTTCAGGAGCTGGCAGCACGGCACTCCGAGCTGTGAGGAAAAAAACGGAAGACTGGAAATCAGCTCCCACCATTTGGATCGATTCGGGTCACTACCTTCAACAAGGCAAACACAATCTGATATCTGCAACTTGACTTGGGAACTGGAGCCGGTTCATTTGATTTCACAGAGGATTTAAGTTTAAGCAGTGACGCAGCCATGGCGAAAGGCTTTGTTTCATGGTTCCAATTCTTTTGGACTCAAACAGTCCCCGTGCCAAAGGCTGCACACCTCGCAAGCCCCGCAACTGAAGTCTTCAGACAGAGTCCCTGAGTTTCAACAACTCGCTCAGAGTTCATAGAAGCTTCAAGCATTTATCATGAAACGAAGCTTTAAAGAACAACACGAAACCACATGAATTGGCCTTCCAAATGTAGATGTCATATCCCAACCTCCCAACCCGATCTGTCCAAGCAAACCCCCATCCTGGTGGCCAATGGAGATCCCGTTGTTGACGACTGGCACAGATGATGAGATCCTTCGTTGTGTCTTTGAGTGTCTCGGCGGAGTGGGAACGGGAGAGTCCAGCTGGAAATGTTTGCGTCAAACTTGGGTGGGTACTTTGGTACCTTGATAGTCTAAGACAGGCCGTGATCTCTTAGCAATCCTTCACCTTCCAAAAATGGGGAAGGTATGTTTGACCATTTGCAATGGATGGGTCTAATCAGCCTACTCAACTAAAACGGAAAAATCATGGGATTGCCCAAAAAAACACAATAACAAGGGTGATTGTAGGTTGCGGACCACAGCTCGACAAGTATCTAAAGACTTCCAAAGGTCTATTATCTGGGTAAATTATAACGACCTCACTGCGACCTCACTGGAATCATGGTTAATAAGGGAAATCATCTCCAAATGGCCTTAATTTAGGTTAGTGAAATATTATAATTTACCCAGTATTATGCAAGTCAGTATAAAACAGTCTAGAAGCATAATGTTGTACCACTTTGACCCATCAAAAACTAAATGGGGAGACAACCTGCGCTGAAAAAAAACAACACGACCATTGGGGAGCATGAGCAGGCAGAAATGGGCATGTAAGATAGTTACCAAGAGTGAGGAAAAATGTAAAACAATGTAAAACACTCATCAGGAATAGAACCAAATAGGATATTTATGTAACGAATAGACCGAATGTCCACACATGTTCAAAAGGGACTGGCCGTTCTTGAGGTTCAGTTTGCCAGGTGAAGGTGGCAAACAAAACAGTTCTTGGAGAGCCCAACTTTGATCCCTCAGAACTAACTCCAAAGGGTGAACCTACAGGATAGGTGACCGGAACCGACCAGATCCGACCGCAACCGGGCCACGCTACCAGGTTGTCATCGCAGCGGGTCGCGAACTCAGAGATCTCAGAGCCAAGGTTGCTGAGATGATTTGAGATGTAAAACCCAGCAGATTTTGTGGGACAGGTCCAGCTTCGTGGTGTATCGCGCCGCTGGATGTCCGTGTGGAGGTGAGCTTGGGGAGGATTGGATTGATACATTGATTGTATCTGTCAAATGTATGAAATGCTTGGACTGTTTTACCCCAAGATTTAAGACTATTTTTGAACGGATGGCAACAGAGAGTTACGATCAGTATAAACCCCTATGTACAGCAACTTTGGTACTCTATGTTGTACGGACTACCGCCAGTCTATGACCACCACTACCACAACGGGTAGATGCTGTAAAGTTGGCAGCATCCCATGGTAATTACCCCCAATTCCAATGGATCATCATCATTTTCCCGATGAAGATTGCCATTTGGGGGTATCCTCCTATTTTCAGACAACCCCATCTACTGTAATATATGTGATTAATATATATATACAGAGGAGGCCCGCACATGCGAAGCCTGATTTCAATTGACTTTCCGGCCCCAGAAATGGAACCTGAAAGCGCACATGTGGCATCAGCTGTCTCCGTTCCCTAGCTCCAATGCGGCGATTGCAATGCAGCACCACCCAGGCAACATTCACCAATCCGTCGCTACTCCGGCTACTCCGCTACTCCGTGGTATGTCTTAATTCAATTACCCAATGTAATTGACACGATATCGAAACGATGGCGGAGTAAGAGAGCCTTCAATACTTCACCTTCCCACATCTTTCCCTAAGCAGATTCTTACTCCATCCCGTTTTAAATTAATACTATTAATTAATAACGGGATTGACTGAAAAGATCATAATTCATGTTCTTTCTGGGCTGAAAACTTCGGTAGGAGTCTAGAGGGGCAAGGGGGGCCCACAAGGGGCAGTAAAGTATTCAATACAATCATTCAAATGGAAGCCGGCCACCTGCGCGAAAACCCACAAACTCCGCAACAGCAAGAAACACTTCAAGCAATCACCTATAAGGCTGCAAAAGGCTGATGCGCCTTCTTTTAGCAGCAAACAATCAAGCCACCAGACGAAACGAAATAATAAAAAGCTACCTTCAACTGGGTTCAAGCAGCAACCGATATGCACCCCGCTTGCCCCAACAAGAAACAAAATCATCTACAAAACAGCTTCCTCCGACGGGCCCAATTCTGGGTCCGGAAAACATTCTCAAAACCGGCTTCGCTCAAAAGGGCCTCCCTAGTTGCCCTTCCGGCCGCCATAAGCCACAAAGCTTCATTGAAACCAAAACGTTGCGCTTCTGCAACCTTGATACAAAAAACTTCAAAAAATGAACTTAAAAACGGTCCCAAAAATGGGACCGCCTGGCGGTCCCATTTTTGGGACCGCATGCACTGCTTAGTAAAAGAACAAAAGAAAAGCACTTTCACGGTCCCATTTTTGGGACCGTCTGGCGGTACCAAAAATGAGACCGCAAAATCGCAAAATAGCAAAGGCCGACCCGTGCAACGAACGAACAAAAAATGACAACTGCGTTTAGTTAAGCAACAAGCATATAGAGTTGGAACAGTATATATATATATATATAGATGTATATATATATATATAATATTTATTAATCTACATTGTACCAGTCCGGAGAATCCACCAACAAGAAAAATGCGTGATATCGGCGCCCAAAACAGCAACTGGTGTTTCAGCTGGTGTCAGACCCATTTTTGCCGAAGAATCTCCGGTTCTGCCGAGGTCCTTCCCATCCCACTGGACCGTGAAATTTGATCCTCCCAGCGGCCCTGTGACGCTGGAGTTGGAGGTGAATCAGGTGGGGCTCGGCACTTTCAACGGTTCCACCAGGTTACACATAATAGCGGTTGTTTACCGACTAGGGTTACTACCAGGGGTAATAGAAGGGAAAGTATACCATTGGAAGATTTTCGTGGGAATGCTGGTGAAACATCACCCAGTCTGCAAATGGGTTTAAACTATGGACGTTGTGAAAATCACTATTTGTTTATCACGTGTAGATGATTTTTCCCTATGGATCTATGTCATGTTCAAGTGTTGGAGTGTAATGATTGAGCACCGAAAAATGGATCGTTTCTTGACTGTTTCTTGCGTAGTCCTAAGATTCTGCGAGTCCACCAGTACCGCATGATTCAGTAAAACCCACAGAGAAGCTGCTTGTGAAAATCATAGAAGCATTTCCACTTGTTACAGGTGAAATGGGATAAGCAGTGAGGATTTCACGAGGACATGATTGGTGGGACCTTGACCAAACCCAACACAACTTGGAGGTGGCTAAACAATTAGGATGGGTACATACACAACTTGATACGAATTGAACATGTCCAGTTCTATTCTCGTTAATAGATATTAATAGTCTCACCAATGTATTACCATATCTCTTGGGTCTTGCCATATCTTGGGAGCCCACATGACCGTGGCTAAAAGGCGATGAGCAAATTGATCCTCACCTGTGAGTTGGAGCTGCGCTCCGGTCACAGCGGTCGCAGCGGTCGCAGCACCGTGGCGCGCATGGATTGGGTGCCGTCCTACTTTGGCTCCCGCAACGGTCACGCCGGGAGCCCCGGGGAGAGATGGCGATTCAGTCTGCTCTCTGGTAGGGGCATATACGGTATAGACATGGCAAATCAATGCAAATTATGGCAATGGATGATGGAAAATCCTATTTTTGAATGGAAGGGAGTTGAAGAGACTCAGAATTGTCTATAAACTTATCAAATGGGAGATTGAGAATCGTTACGTTTGATCGCCACAGGATCGACAAAATGTGCGAAGGTGGGTTGAAGAAAAATTGCTTGATTTTGGGGGTCTGACAAGTTGTGGAAAATTGATCAAGTTTCGCTTGATATACATCTGGGTTTCCAGAAAATGTTATAGACAGTTAAAGAGTTGACAAGGGCTTTGATGTTGAAGAGGTGTGTAAGCTTGACACTTCTGGGAGTTGGGTCATCCATGGTTCAGAAGCCGAATCCCACTTGGGACTGGGACCATGGCAATCCCACAGCCACATGGTTTCCTTTTTTGTAGGTGCCCCTCAGTGACTCATATCCAGAACATTGCTCACACCCACACCTGTTATTTGATTTTATGGGTTGCATCTAAACTTTAAAATGCCGTGTTTTCAGAAGTACTTATATGTTATAAGTTATAAGTATATATAACATTATATAACCATATATTATAAGCTGAGAGATGTTTAAGTTGTTGTCATATATGGATGGATGTTCCGTTGGTCCAGAGCGAACCTTCAGGGGGTTGGTGCCATACCAAGGTTCTGCACGAGTTGAAAAACGAGGCTCCACGGGTGATAGTCATCAAGTGAGGCAGAGGTCATCAAAATCTAGGAAATTTGCTGTTTGTGGCGTGGTTGTCAGAATTAAAGTTTAAAGCATATAAATATATATATATATATAATTTCTATAACTATATATGATATACCTTATAGATAAAACACATATATGTATAATTGTATATATATACATAACAATGCATTCAGTTTCGTAATGTAAGCATTTCGTTTTTGTGAGCTGTTTTCGGGCATACTACTCTTCTGGGTCCACACCAACATGCGAATGTCAGGCTGCTGATGCGACATGGCGCTTGGCCAGCCGTATTTTCCAAGGCTGGACAGAGTTGAATTGGGCACAAGGTAAACTACAGGGATGCTTGTTGCACCAGACTGGCATTTGGGTCAAAGCTGAACGTTTCATAATTTAAGTGGGCGCTTGAGTAAATCAACATAAACCAGTATCATTTGATGTGTTTGCGTGGATGTTTGCCATGTTGCCATGATGTCTGTGGCGATTCAGGTGCCAGCGCGGCACCCGGCGAAGGGCAACTGCGCTTGCGCTCAGCGGAGAAATTGGTGCTGTGCGCAGTGGACCACCAGCAGGCACCATCTGGGATTGGGTCAAGATGGGGGGGCCCAGTGGACAACGGCAATTTTCATGGTGAGGATTACAGATAAGCCAATGGAATTTTTGGTCTACCGGCAAATGAATGGTGCATTGGGTCAAGTCATAATTTGGGTAACCTTTTTGGACCCACCAAATTTGTGGTGTTCCTTTCTAATGTGAATCCATCCATTTTCGGGGCGGTGATATCTCTGGCCCATTCGCAATTTGTGAGTTGTGTGGCATGGTCCCTGATGTTTGATGGGGAAACAACCATGGCCCCAACAAGAATGATGTTGATTGTGCAGGAAAACAGTCAATGAAAGCCCTCAATCAGATTATGAATTTGCCCAATTTCTGAAGGATACATAAGCAATTCATGTTTCTAGAGAAACGTTCAGTGATTGCACGAGTTTTCGTCGGAGACATGAGCACAACAGTGGTAAATCATGGTAAATCCACCAATCAATGTTTCAATTATGTTTCAATTCAGCTTTTGGCAATCGAAAAAAAAATGTTCACACGAAAAAGTCCGGAGACCTCTTGGTCTTTTGGTGTAAAAATTACAGTTGTTCCAGCAGCCCGTCTTGGCCCGTCACAGGTGGAATTGTTCCGATGCCTCATCGATTGCCGAAAGAACAAACAGCTGCAATCGTTGGATCCGTTGGATCCGTTGAGTCCGTTGAAAAAGTGCTGTTGGGAATGCAGGACATGTTTGGAAAACCCAGTTGTGTAAAGGGTCAAGCAGTTCGCATCGGACTACTTGCTGATTAAAACCCGGTAAATCAAACATAGCAATGGAGAATCCACCATTTAATAGATGATACCAGGCTATAAACCTCAATTAACAGTGGAATTTCCCATATTTTCCCATGAATGTCCTATGAATTTCCCATTAAAACCTGGCAGATGAGGTGCTGGAAAGTCCCTTCGGCCTCATCGAGGAGCTGCTGGCAGATGAGCCCTGGCAACTCTTGGTACCTCGGCACCCGTGGGGCCGTGGTGGGTTCGGGGGTGTTTATAAACAACCATTTTTATGGGATAGGATCTGTGTATATTTATATATATATATATTTATATTTATATATATATACATATTTATATATATATACACTGTACATATATAGATTATAATTTTATATAGTAATATATTAAAGGGCTCCGCCCCCTGCCGCCGACCCCTGGGCATATCTTCTGTGGCGCGTGAGCAACTGCGCCATGGTGACTTGTCCGACAATAACCATCGCTTTCTGCACGGGCGGCCTACCACAGTGCCAGGCAGCTGGATTGCTGGGCAGGCGACGTGCCAACAACCAAGTTGCGCCGCGTTGCCTACACAAGGCCTAATTCCAGAAGCCATACAAGAGGCCGAATGCAGCTACTGTGCGGCGGATCGCCATTCGCGCATACTTGTGGCGCAAGGAGCTGCGGACACACGGTTCCAGAAGGAATTTGCAGATGCGGTCGCGATTTTCGGCACCAACGACATCAAATACCACGTGAACAAGCTTCGCGCCATACAGTGGTCGAATGCCAGAGACAAGCAACCGTATTTATTTGTTGCGCAAGATGTTGCGTCGTCTGTGGTCGTGCAGGAGAAGCCGAATTTGACGACGGAGAAATTGCAATGGTTGCAGCGACACGACAAAGAGTGCGGTGGACTGTACGGCGTGTTGCCGTTGTGCGTCGGCATGCCTGTCCGTGCAACAGATCACCTCGACCGGAAGCGTGGCATTCTAAAAGGCACCAAGGGCTACGTCGTCGGTCGGTCCACGATTGCCAATGAGACGCCTGCGCCGGAAGGAGTCGTGTGCAACACTTTGCCGGCCGTGGTGTATGTGAGGTTTGAAACCGCAACCTCATGGCATGTGCCAGGTCTGCCGGATGCAAACGTATACCCCGTCGGAACTTGCAGGCGTGTGTGGTACTTAGACCGGCAACGCCAACGCCCCAAGCTGCGGGTATCGCGGACGCAATTCCCGCTCGCACCCCAGTTCGCCATCACCGCGCATGTGGCGCAAGGACAGACCATCAAAGAGGGGGTGATGACGGATCTTTGTATAGGTCCCACAGGAAATCCCTTCACGGTCTATGTCGCGATCACTCGCGTCACAGGACGCGAAAAATTGTTGATTTTTCGACCTTTTGACGCCGCTCCATTCCAAAAGGGAATTGGTTTGGGCCGAGACCTTCTTCTGCGACACCTTCGCGGGGATTTCATCAACTGGCAATCGTTGTTGGCCATACTGCGAAGAACGTCGGTGTGCAACCTGTACGGAACGCAAGCCAGCAGCAGCCTTCACGACCGGTCAATGGAAGCGCGAGGACAAGGATCGCGTCTGTCGCGAATGCACAAAGCACTACGCAGACGCAGGAACGCCGTGGCAATGCAACGTTTGCAAGCTGTGGCATGCCGAAGACAATTTTCCAGCAAAGCATCGTCAACGGCAGTGTAGTTTTTTTCGTTTGTGTTTGACATGTGAAGTGAAGAAACCTTGTTTCAAGTGTGGCGTTGTGAAAGCAGAATCCGACTTTGGCGCAGCCGCATGGAAAGCTCGCAACGCGGATTGCCGCTGCTGCAGAGAATGTGCCACCAAACTACGCGGCTGTTGGCAATGTCGCCAGTGCGCGGAACGCAAGCCACGAACAGAGTTTACAGCTTGGCAACAAGGTCGTGAATATACTCAAAACGGCACAAGTATGCAACGCATGCACAGCCTTTGCCTTCGTTTGCCGTCTTGCTCATCGCACGAATCAACGCCTGGCCCGCTTGCGCCAACGCGAAACCCGCCACCGGCACGCAGCAATCCTAGAGGACGTTCGCAAGGAAATTCAGGAAATACACGAAGCAAGACAAACTTCCACGCGAGCAGAAGGTCCCAAAACGGACACTGCCCACTCATCGAACCAGCAGCTTGCTGTCGGGCCTGACACAGCACCGCCACGACTGCACATATACATCTGCCCGTACTGTGCCAAGTCTGTGCAAAGCCCTGTGGCAACAGGGCGCGTCGATCACCGCCGCGGTAATGGCTGCGGCAAACAATTTCGCGTTGCCAATGGCCTGCTCGCAGGTCGCACATATTCGCATGCATGTCCAACATGCGGCACGGTGGTGCACTCAACACTGGCTTCCGGCCGAATTCAGGTAACGCATCGCAATCCCAGCGGCCGGCAGTGTCGCACCAACCAGTGGCGCGTGCATACCTGATGAAGTTTCCAGCTTAAGGTTGCCACACCGCACGGCAATGCCCCACATTGCTTTCTGAACCTACAAGAAAAGTAGCCGTCTTCCAGCTTTCCAAGCTCAGAAACGGCGCCTCCGCCACGCCCAAACAGCAGGGCCCTGAAGGACGGACCGAGCCTCCGGGCAACGGCTCCCACTGCCTAACGTTGCTTTCTGAACCTACAAGAAAACTAGCTCTCTTCCAGCCGTCAAGGCTCACAAACGGCGCCCTCGCCACAGCAAAACAGCAGGGCCCTGAAGGACGGGATGGACCGAGCCTCCGGGCAACGGCTCCCAAACTAGCTCTCTTCCAGCCGTCAAGGCTCACAAACGGCGCCTCCGCCACGCCCAAACAGCAGGGCCCTGAAAGACGGACCGAGCCTCCGGGCAACGGCTCCCACTGCCTAACGTTGCTTTCTGAACCTACAAGAAAACTAGCTCTCTTCCAGCCGTCAAAGCTCACAAACGGCGCCCTCGCCACAACAAAACAGCAGGGCCCTGAAGGACGGACCGAGCCTCCGGGCAACGGCTCCCACAAACGGCGCCTCCGCCACGCCGCAAAAACCCAGCAGGGGGGCCCGAAGGAACGGACCGAGGCCTCCGGGCAACGGCTCCCATATGGCTAACGTTGCTTTCCGAACACCTACACAGAAAAACTAGCTCTCTTCAGCGTTCCAAGGCTCACAAAGGCGCCCTCGCCACAGCACACAGGCACAGGGCCCTGAAGGACGGGAACGAGCCTCCGGGCCAACGGCTCCCAAACTAGGCTCCTCTTCAGCCGTCAGGCTCACAAATGGAGCCTCCGCCACGCCCAAACAAGCAGGGCACTGAAGGACGGACCGAGCCTCGGGCAACCGGCTCCCATGCCACTAACGTTTGCTTTCTGAACCTACAAGAAAACAGCTCTCTTCCAGCCTTAAAGCTCAAAAACGGCCGCCTCGCACAGAAAACAGCAGGGCCTGAAGGACGGGACGAGCTCAGGGGGCAAGGCTCCCAACACTAGCTCTCTTCAGCCGACAAGGCTCACAAACGGCGCCCCGCACGCCCCAAACAGCAGGGCCTTGAAGGACGGACCGAGCCTCCGGGCAACGGCTCCCAGTGCCTAACGTTGCTTTCTGAACCGACAAGAAAACTAGCTCTTTTCCAGCCGTCAAGGCTCACAAACGGCGCCCTCGCCACAGCAAAACAGCAGCGCCCTGAAGGACGGACCGAGCCTCCGGGCAACGGCTCCCAAACTAGCTCTCTTCCAGCCGTCAAGGCTCACAAACGGCGCCTCCGCCACGCCCAAACAGCAGGGCCCTGAAGGACGGACCGAGCCTCCGGGCAACGGCTCCCACTGCCTAACGTTGCTTTCTGAACCTACAAGAAAACTAGCTCTCTTCCAGCCGTCAAGGCTCACAAACGGCGCCCTCGCCACAGCAAAACAGCAGGGCCCTGAAGGACGGACCGAGCCTCCGGGCAACGGCTCCCAAACTAGCTCTCTTCCAGCCGTCAAGGCTCACAAACGGCGCCTCCGCCACGCCCAAACAGCAGGGCCCTGAAGGACGGACCCCGAGCCTCCGGGCAACCGCTCCCACTGCCTAACGTTGCTTTCTGAACCTACAAGAAAACAAGCTCTCTTCCAGCCGTCAAACCTTCAAAAACGCGCCCTTTCCGGCCGTCACAAACATTCAAAAACGGCCGTGGGTGCCTAACGTTGCTTTCTGAACTGCCTAGAAACTAGCTTCAAACCTTGCTGTTTCCTGCCGTCAGCTCGAGTCCAAGGACCCTGTCGCGGGCCTCAAACACCATGGCAGTGAAGGACGGATCGGGCCTGCGGGCCACGGCCGTGAGTGCCTAACGTTGCTTTCTGAACCTACAAGAAAACCTTGCTGTCTGACCCAAAACGGCGCCTGCGCCACAGCCAAACAGCAGGGCCCTGAGGGACGGACCAGGTCTGCCGGTTCAAACCTTGCTGTTTCCTGGCGTCAGCTCGGGTCCAAGGACCCTGTCGCAGGCCTCAAACACCATGGCAGTGAAGGACGGATCGGGCCCGCGGCCGGCAGCCCATACTGCCAAACGTTGCTTTCTGCAGTGCCTAGAAACTAGCTTCAAACTTTGCTTTTCCCTGCGTTCCTGCACTGCCAACTGCCAACTTGCCTGCATTGTCTGACAGCTGGCTTTCGTGCGGCACAGCTCCGGTCAAGTCGAAACTAGCTTCAAACCTTGCTGTGTCTTGCCGTCAGCTCGAGTCCAAGGACCCCTCCGCAAGGACCCCTCCGCAGGGCCCCAACACCATGGCACTGAAGGACGGATCGGGCCCGCAGCCGGCAGCCCACGGTGCCAAACGTTGCCTTCTGAACTGCCTAGAAACTAGCTTCAAACCTTGCTTTTCCCTGCCACTTTGCCTGCGTCGTCTTGCAGCTCAAACCTAGCTTTTCCCTGCGTTCCTGCACTGCCAACTGCCAACTTGCCTGCATTGTCTGACAGCTGGCTTTCGTGCGGCACAGCTCCGGTCAAGGGACCTCCTC